TTTTTCCCCCCCAAAAAAATGTGGAGAAATGTTTGTGTGTCTTACAGAGCGAATATGGAGCGCTCGGCCCGGTATTCCCACCGCCGCCGTGTCAGAATACCGGGCCGGCCGCTCGGCTCTTCTGTGCAGAAGAACCCACTCCTCGGTCCTACCTGTTCGGTCCAGCGTTGTTCTGCTTTCACCTGCCGTTTTCTCTCCCCGGCGCCGGTAGCTTCAGTGTGGGCACCCGGCTGTGACAGCTTGCAGCTTCACAGCCGGGTGCCAACTGCGCATGCACGAGAAGCGCTGCGCTTTGTGAATGACCCTGTAGTCTTCTGGGACCTATCACGTGTCCCACAAGTCTACGGGGAGGGAAAGGGGGGAGGACAACTCAGCAAAAGCGGGAACTTGTACTTGTTAAATTCGGGTATCCCCCCCCCCCCCGCAGTCTCTGGTCATCTCCAGTACTACGCCCGCAGTCTCTGGTCATCTCCAGTACTACGCCCGCAGTCTCTGGTCATCTCCAGTACTACGCCCGCAGTCTCTGGTCATCTCCTGTACTACGCCCGCAGTCTCTGGTCATCTCCTGTACTACGTCCGCAGTCTCTGGTACTACGCCCGCAGTCTCTGGTCATCTCCTGTACTACGTCCGCAGTCTCTGGTCATCTCCTGTACTACGCCCGCAGTCTCTGGTCATCTCCTGTACTACGTCCGCAGTCTCTGGTCATCTCCTGTACTACGCCCGCAGTCTCTGGTCATCTCTGTACTACGTCCGCAGTCTCTGGTCATCTCCTGTACTACGCCCGCAGTCTCTGGTCATCTCCAGTACTACTCCTCGCAGTCTCTGGTCATCTCCTGTACTACTACGTCCGCAGTCTCTGGTCATCTCCAGTACTACGTCCGCAGTCTCTGGTCATCTCCAGTACTACGTCCGCAGTCTCTGGTCATCTCCTGTACTACGTCCGCAGTCTCTGGCATCTCCTGTACTGTGTCCGCAGTCTCTGGTCATCTCCAGTACTACGTCCGCAGTCTCTGGTCATCTCCAGTACTATGTCTGCAGTCCATTGGTTCAGAATATTTTTTTTCTCGTTTTCCTCCTCTAAAATCTAGGTGCATCGTATGGTCAGGTGTGTCTTATGGAGCGAAAAAATACGGTATCCCTCAATACAATATGATGTACCCATTTTATAATAGATATCAACCATTTAATGAGTACAAAGAAGACTATTATTCTAATACCAATCAACAACAAGGCCCTAACTCTTTTTTTTTGGTAGGAGTTGGGGGAGGGAGGCCAAAGAGGTAGTCCCTTCTGTCCAATAAACAGGAAGAGGAGGTCCTATAAGAACAAAACATCCCATCGAGGATGTAGAGCAGGTAGAAGGGTTTCAACAATATTAAAAAAGTAGGAGAGACTAGACACTGCAGGTATCTATAACATCAGTCAAACAATTTTATCCCCTAATGAAATAAACATACTGAATTTTAATTTTAATTTTAATATTTATTCTATTTTTTATTTTTATTTTAGGTTTTTTTATTTTTATTGTATTATTATGGTAATATTGGTTTATTGATTTGCTGTGATGTCCAGATTAGATTGTATGGTCATGAAGATGGTTTGTAATAACCATCGGAGTATGTTGATGCGATCAATACGCAGGCATTGGAGATAAGGTAATATTTGTCCATTATTTTTAGGGTATTTGCCCATAGTATTCAGTATATGGCACTCTATGTTGCCAGTTTGATGCATCGTTTCCTGTGAGACAATATGATCTGTTTCCTGTGGGACGGTGCACTAATTAAACCTAATTAAGCATCTGGTGGGTTAATTAAAGTCTGTCTATATAAGTGATGTGCTGTACCACACCGTAATCCCTATGATGAAGTCAGGTACGACGAAACATGTCAGGGTGGGACGGTGAGGCGGACCAGAAGTGACGCAGATACGCGAACCGGAAGTGAACCTTTGGTAATACACGATTGGAGCAAAATTTTTTTCTCTTTCTATGTAACTATGGAGAGGAATATATATTATGATCCTGGCTACCATTTTTATCATGGATTATTATTGGAGGAACCTCCTGGTCTTAACAAAAAGACTGTGTTCTGATGACCCCGTTTTCTGGAATTTATGCAATAAGGCTCATTAAAGGCTATGTTCTGGTGAGTGCACACCTAAGAGGGGGTGTATGAAAAGCACAGCACGTGGTTTATTTATTTCTGCACTGGGACTCCCAAAGGATTTACATTGTGAAAGTTTTTTTTTTTTTTGGACAATTTTATTTTTGGATGATTTTTTTTGTTTTTTTTGTAAATAATTATTGATTACACTGTACTTATATTTTATGGTGTTTTGTGGGCACCACTAAGCAACTCATTCACTCCCTTATTATTTCACGCCTTGACTACTGTAACTCCCTCCTCATAGCAGGCTATCCCCCCTTCCATCTATCTTGAATGCTGCGGCCAGACTCATCCACCTTACAAACCGCTTTGTATCTGCCACCCCTCTCTGCCAATCCCTCCACTGGCTTCCGATTGCCCAACGGATAAAATTCAAAATGCTAACATTGACGTAAAAAGCTGTTCATAACTCTGCCCCAAACGACATCACCGATCTCGTCTCCAAATACCACCCAAAAACATACTCTCCGCTCCTCACAAGACCGCCTACTCTCTAGTTCCTTGGTCTCCTCCTCCCATGCCTGTCTCCAGGACTTCTCCAGGGCTTCCCCCATCCTCTGGAACTCCCTACCCCAATACATCAGACTATCACCTACTCTTCTCACCTTTAGGCGCACCCTGAAAACCCATCTCTACAGGGAAGCCTACCCCGCCCTCACCTAACAGCCGTTCTCCTCCACTCCTCCTACCACTCCATCCCCCACGGCTATTTCCTCCTGTACCACTATCCCCTCCGTCCTAGATTGTAAGTTCCAAGGAGCAGGGCCCTCAATCCCCTCGTGTATTGAATCGTATTGTTACTGTACTGTCTCCCATTATAATATACAGCTCTGAGCGAACTATTGGCGCTTTATAAACCCTATATATAATATTATTATAACATACATAATTTGTTTGTTTATTTTTTGTCACATATAATTTTATGTCACATATATTTTATGTCATTTAATATTTGTGTAAAGAAGTTTGCACATAGAGACTATCAAAAGGAATTAGTGTGACACATATATATATATATATATATAATGTGCTGCTAATTATTACTAATATTAGGAGTGGTATTTTTTGGAATAAGGTACATTACATGTACTTGTTTTAAAGCAGACTTCCACCCAAAAGTGGAAGCTTCGCATTTCTGACTCGACCCCCCCCCCCCCCCGCTGCCACATCGGTCACCTTTTGGGGGGGGGAGCATGCCTGTGCTACGGACAGATGGATTCCAGGAAGTAAATGCTACATAAATCACCTGCCCTTACTCAAGAAATGCTAGTTGTGTGTATCTTGTGAACTAAAGATCTGGGACACAGTAACCTGCAACATATATACATTTTTGTTTTGGGGATTAGATGCACTTTAAAAAAAAAAAATACTAAAAAAAAAAAAACAACAAAAAAGACAAACACCTTTTTTGCACAATGTATTTGTATGTTAACAAGGCCTATTTTCCCCAGCGTGCCAAAGCCATATACTAATTTCTAAGCGTCTTTCTGCTATGTTTGCTACACTGGCGCGGTCGTATTCAGCGCTCCTATCAAAAGCCTCCCAGTAATGTGGGAAGAGGTTGTCCGTCTAATTGAATGTCACATAATTCACACTTCCCTCTGTGCAATCAGGGTGATATGTATCGCTCGTGAGCAGGAAGGTCTCCAAACATAATTGGTTTGTTGTTGGCTAAAATGGGATCTTATGGTGTTGGACACTTCGATAATGAACGAGTGAAAGTGAATTATAGACTCCGTCATCGCTGACACTCAATTCACCGGTGACCTGTGATCCATCCCACCCACCACCAAAAAAAAAAAACAAAAAAAAACAGGTAGTGCACAAAGCTGTGGTACGGGTGAAGCTTCTGCACCCATAACTAGTATTTGACTTTCGGATGAATGCTGATAAGTTGAGAGCCCTGCCATTTACCCAATTCTATTGGGGGAACCGCAAAAAATTCTGCACGTTAATTTGTTTCTAATGCCCTCTCCCTGTTGCCTGGCAAACAGATTTTCCATTTACTTTCGCCATCCATATAAAAATCCACAGGGGGATTGTAAGAATTATTTTTGGCTGTGAACATTTGGTGGAAATGGGAATCCTGCTGGGTTCATCCTCCTGGAATCATGGACAGATAGAAGAATTAAGCATTCGACGCAACTGGCCAGCAAACCAGAAATAGAATGAAGTCATCTCTGCCTTTGGGCCTCGAAGCAGCTGCTTGTTGGAGAATCCCACGACGTTTTTATTTTTTTGCTTAAAACAAAGCTGTCACGAAGTTAGAAAACTGGCATCAGGAGTAGAATGCTGAAGTTGAAATTAGTAGACTTTGGATTTTGAGGCTTTAGAGATGCACAAGATGACACCTGAAGGCACACGCGAGTACATGTAGGTTCTCTACTTGCTTTCAAATTCTATTACCAATTTTATAAATTTCATAATATGACCACTTAACCACTTGCCTACCAGGCACTTATACCCCCTTATTTACCAGGCCAATTTTCAGCGCTGCCGCAGTTTGATTGACAATTGCGCGGTCATGCAACATTGCACCCATATGAAATTTTGATCATTTTTTTCTCACAAATAGAGATTTCTTTTGGTGGTATTTAATCGCCACTGGGCGCTTTACTTTTTGCGCTATAAACAAAAAAAGTGCAAAAAATTTTAAAAAAAAAAAAAAGTTTCTTTGTTTCTATTATAAAATTTTTCAAACAGGTAATTTTTCTCCTGATGTGTGTTGATGAGGCAGCACTGATGGGCACTGATAGACAGCACTAATGAGGTGTCACGGATAGGCGGCACTAATATGCAGCACTGATAGGCGGCACTGATGATGATGGGTACTGATAGACGGCACTGACTGGCATCACTGCTGGGCACTGACTGGCGGCACTGACTGGCACAACCGCTGGGCACTGACTGGCAGCACTGCTGGGCTGCACTGGTGGGTGGCACTGGTGGGGTGGGCACTGGTGGGTGGGCACAGGTAGGTGGCACTTCTGGGCACAGGTGTGTGACACTGCAGAGTGGCACAGGTGGGTGCATTGCTGGGCACAGGTGGGTGCACTGCTGGGCACAGGTGGGCGGAGCTAGTGGGCGCACTGCTGGGCACAGGTGGGCGGAACTTGTGGGTGGCACTGCTGGGCACCGATCATCAGGGCACTGATCATCAGTGCCCTGATGATCGTGCCGATCCTCGCTCTGACAACTGCCGGTTCTCGGCAGTACTTTCCTCACGATCTGACAGCGTGAGGAAAGTGCAGACGAGAACCGGCAATTGAATTTCCCTCTGATCAGCGTGTCATTGGACACGGCTGATCACGTGGTAAAAGGCCGCTGTGATTGGCCTTTTACCACATCACGTGATCAGCTGTGTCCTGTAGGACACAGCGATCACGGAGATAGTCGGATTCGCGCCCGAGAGCGCGTTCTGGGAGGAGGTCATATGACGTCCACCCAGAACTGGCCGGCCGCAGTGCAGCCGTCATTCGGCTATCTGCGGTCGGCAACTAGTTAAAGATAACATACGGTGCACAGAGAATACCCACACTTCTCTTCTTCAGAAAATACTGGTTGCTTGGCTGTCACACTAAATTTTCTAACTACAATACGTGCCAAGTAGCTAACCTGGAATAAGTAAGGCCAACAAGAGTTTGTAAATTTTTAGACATGCTTGTATCAGGTCAGTAGTTCAGAAAAGATTTAAGCCAGACACCTAGGTATCTAGAATTTTAAAGGTCAGAATAGGCAGCCCCCAGTTCTTCAAATGAAAAGACCACTGATTCTGTGGGAACTGGAGGTCAGGGACACAGATTTCGATCTCCTCACGGCCTGACACTGCAAAAACAATAAACATCTCTGGTTTGTGAGAGAGACCACGCTGGAGTGACTAGATCAGTCAATAGTCGTGGATGGTAAATAAATAAAAAATTGCAGCACTAATCAAAAAAAAAACAAAGTCCAATAAATCAGAAAAAGTTCCAGTTAAAAAGTCCCAAATGCAATTCCCATGATCCACCATCACCAGAATGGTTCAGCCCCTTACCAGAAATTCTGACCGAAACACACTGGTCAACGTAGGCAACTCAAATGGGAGATGAATAAGTGTAGATCATGGAACCAGCAATCCTTATCCAGATAGATATCAATCCTCCATTCAAAGATCTGAAAATGGTCCTAAAAGACGACTCCCATCTTTTTTGGTTCTACAATATCTTCTGGCATTCAGTGACAGCTGCAGTATTTACTTACAAACTGGAAAGCTGAGAAAGGCTTGTCTGCCCTGCAAACACAGCTTTAACACTTTAATAGTCATGGATGGGTGATTGTGTTGGCAAAGATGAAGAAGTCCCTTCCAGTAGGTTGTGCCCAGTGGAGAATGGTGGACTCTCATGGGGGCTTGGGCTGCTACCTTTCCGAAATGGCATTATGGTCATTTCAGTGAAAAGTCTTGGGTAGGATAGAAGGTGCACTCAATTACCTGACACTTCTTCTATCCTACCCAAGATAGCAATGAACATGGAAGGACTCAGACTGAGCACTTCAGTGTTCATTTAAAGCCTTAAAATGTTGTCTTCTATTTGGTGGCACAGTGGTGGGCTCTATGGCCACATCTATGCATACAGCTGGTGTCACCATTTTGTGCTTGGAGCACACAAGTACTGTGATTAAGCTGCCACTGTTGACTCCAGGTCATGGTTTACAATCAAGAGCCAATAAGACTCCTGGCCACATGACCACTGGGACATCCAGATACAGTATTCACATTACTGGGAAGGAGTGAATAGCTCAGGTAAGTCCAAACCTGCCTCAGCTATTCTGCCAGAAAGCTCTCAAAGCCAACTGACAATCATAGGAGATGGAGGCATTCCCCTTCCCGCACATAAATATACATTACAAGCCACCTACGACTGGCTGTCAGCTTTGACAGCTTCCCAGCAGGATAGCTTAGGCAGGGTCTGACTTGTATCTGAACTCACCTGAGCTCATCTCTATGGGAAGCCTCTGAAGTTACAGACATTTAAAGGGCCAGCTGGCAGCAGCAAGATAGGCAAGCATGCTGATCTTGCACCAGTTTGCACAGAGCCTTGCTACAGATAGTGGAGATGCTACAAACTAATATTAAAATTTAAAGTCTATCTAAAGCCAAAGCTTTTGTTTTTCATGTTCGATTAGGGAATAGTTAACACCTGTCAGTCTTTTTTTTTTTTTTAATTATGTATCCAATTGGGGAGATTTCTTCCAACTTCCTGTCCTGTAGACACAACAAAAATGAAACGCAATCTCTCCAAATAGAAGATTAGTTGTTAAAATTGGAGGATTTTAAAGGGCAACCATCACCGGTGCTAAAACCGGCCATAGATGGAACGAATCTCGGAGGGTTCGGCAGGAACCGGCCAAGATTTGATCCATCTATGGGCAAGCTGGTTGTACTGAAGTCAATCCATCGATTGACTTCAGTGCAACCAGCCTGTGGGATTTTTCTAAAGTGAGCCACCAGCAGTGATAATTGTGTTCTGCCATCAGGGAAGGCTCTCAACTGGAAGAACACAATAGGGCTGTGGGATAGACTTCATCATCAACAATGACTGAGTTGATGGGGGAATCGAGCATTTTGTTTTTCCTTCCACCCATGATAGAAGTAAAGAGAAAATTCTATAAACTATAGGCTGCTTGAGAACAATAGTTGGTTCTGATCCCGCACCACACTATCCAAAACGTTAAGAGTTTTGGCTTAAGATACACTTTAATGGCGGCAGCATGGACCGCCAGGTTTTGCAAAGGTCACTGGTCAATTGAGGCTCCAACCATGATGTATACGAAGACGTAAATTTAAAAAACACAATCAATTCCTTTAAAAGAGATCTCACTAGGTGTCACTAAGTGAACAGATAACATGACAAAATGGCTTCCTCCACTAAGCTGAATGAGTTTGAAGCATTTCTCCTATAATGGCCAATTATTTTTCACCAGATAGGATGTTATTTTATCTCTTGATCTAACTGCTCTCCGGGGCCTCCTCTACATATGCAGGCATATACGCCGATCTCTATCTTCTACCATCATCCACACAACGCCCACCTACGTCTTTCTGAATGTATTAAAGAGAACTCCTTGCTTTCCGTCGCCGAATTAAAGAACATTTGCACGCTATCTGAGGATTCCTTGTAATATTCCAGATTTGTCAGAAGAAAATGAAGGCACTTCCCTTTGAAAGCGGCAGAAAAACAGACCAATTTATGCTGCATACGGAAGATCAAAGACTTGGGAAAAGACGGCTTGTTTCCACTATATCATTTTGATGCTAAATTAGACGACTGTTAATTTGATGATGCTTTGGCTCCGGCTACAATAACGAGCCGTGAGTTTCCGACAACGAGCTTTTGAAGTCAATGAGGGCATCAGAAGGAAGAACTAGAAGCTTGCGGGTGATAGATGAAGTTCCATTGTTATTACTATATGTGTAATATTATAAAATGGATTTTCGGGTTTGTATTTTTAAACTGGATTATCTGAAACTGTCCTTGTACAACCATTGACAGCTGTGAGGATTTAGAGAAAACCTTTCCTAAGAAATGCTACTGATGAATGCCTTCTGGAAATGTGGTTTGCCATTGATGACCTCCATTTAAAAATGTTGGTTAAACTTTTTAATTCACTGACTGTTGGGACCAAGATCACCTGCTGGTGGCACTGTGCTTCCCAGAGCTGAAGGTTGTAGTTTCTGTGTCCACCGATGGTTGAATGCCAGCACATATTAGTAATCAGTTTCCACTTGATGTTGGCTGCTAGGAAGGTATTTAGGTCCTCCCGTATCAGTGCCTCTCGCTCCAGTGTTTTGCTGCTGATAGATATTGCTAGACTTTATCCTGATGCTGGCTGCTGGGAGGGTATTTAGGTCCTCCTCTATTAGTGCTCTCTCTGCTTCAGTGTTTTGCTGCTGCCAAATATTGTTATACATTATCCTGATGCTGGCTGTTGGGAGGGTATTTAGGTCCTCCCCTATTAGTGCCTCTCGCTGCAATGTTTTGCTGCTGCCAAATATTGCTAGACTTTATCCTGATGCTGGCTGCTGGGAGGGTATTTAGGTCCTCCCCTATTAGTGCCTCTCGCTCCAGTGTTTTGCTGCTGCCAAATATTGCTATACATTATCCTGATGCTGGCTGCTGGGAGGGTATTTAGGTCTTCCCCTATTAGTGCCTCTTGCTCCAGTGTTTTGCTGCTGCCAAATATTGCTATACATTTATCCTGATGCTGGCTGTTGGGAGGGTATTTAGGTCCTCCCCTATCAGTGCCTCTCGCTCCAATGTTTTGCTGCTGCCAAATATTGCTAGACTTTATCCTGATGCTGGCTGCTGGGAGGGTATTTAGGTCCTCCCCTATTCCAGTGTTTTGTGCCTCTCGCTACTGGGAGTGTTTTGCTGCTGCCAAATATTGCTATACATTATCCTGATGCTGGCTGCTGGGAGGGTATTTAGGCCCTCCCCTATTAGTGCCTCTCGCTCCATGTTTTGCTGCTGCCAAATCTTGCTAGACTTTATCCTGATGCTGGCTGCTGGGAGGGTATTTAGGTCTCCCCTATTAGTGCCTCTCTCTCCAGTGTTTTGCTGCTGCCAAATATTGCTATACATTATCCTGATGCTGGCTGCTGGGAGGGAATTTAGGTCTTCCCCTATTAGTGCCTCTCGCTCCAGTGTTTTGCTGCTGCCAAATATTGCTATACATTATCCTGATGCTGGGATGGTATTTAGGTCCTCCCCCTATTTGTGCATCTCACTCCAGTGTTTTGCTGCTGCTAGATATTGCTAGCCATTATCCTGTTCCTGGTCCTGCCCGGTACGCTGTTATCCTGATGCCTTGTGCCTGCTCTCCCAGGTTTGGTTCCCCCTTCCCAGCTGCTTCCTGCATCTCTGATGGTCCCTGCTTTTCTGTTTTCCCTATTTTGTATACATTGTATATAGTTAGTTAGGCTGTTAGGTATTCGTCAAGTATTCTGTCACTGGGTTTTTGGTTCACTTATATTTTTAGGTTTGCCATGTGCCTGTGTTTGGATGGATTTTGTTTCACTGTAAATAGATCTCACTTAAATCATACACAGTCCAGTCCCAGTTTGCTTAATGTACCCACACAGATCTGGCCATCCCTGCTGTTGATTCCTGACACTGACCCAGATTCCAGTTTAGGGATCAGAAAAGTCAAAAGTCCATGTTTGCGTAATTGTTCTGGCAACTCAAAGTACTGAAGCAAGAACGCCAGCATGGCAGCCAGGCAATTAACATTTTT